TTGTTTCACTTCACTCTCTCTTCTTCCCTTCCTTCGATTCGTCTTTCTGATTATCTATCCGGATCAGTGAGTGTACAAACTATATGTATTCAAATATTTATTCTCTTATATAACTTATTTAATTCCATTATTCACTAACGCGATCAAAGTTGACAAATTGCATACAAGGATAGGCGACATATGTATATCTCAGTTGCAATCAATCATACAATCAGATATAGGGCCACTAAGCGTTAATACTTGGAACTCAAAGCAACTGTCAACCAACACCAAGGTCAGGGTTTTCAATACAAATGTCAAGGCAGTTCTACTGTATGGGGCGGAAACTCGAAGAACTACGAAAGCGATCATCCTGAAGATATAGGTGTTTATTAACAGTTGTCTATGCAAAATACTTCAGATCCGTTGGCCGGACACTATTAGCAACAACCAACTGTGGGAAAGAACAAACCAGATCCCAACGGAGGAAGGAATTAGGAAGAAACGCTGGAAGTGGATAGGACACACATTGAGGAAAGCACCCAACTGCATCACAAGACAAGCCCTCACATGGAATCCTCAAGGCCAAAGGAAAAGCAGGGAGAACAAAGAATACATTACGCTGGGAAATGGAGATAAACATGAGAAAAATGAACGAGAATTGGATGGAATTAGAAAAGAAGGCCGAGGACATAGTGGGTTGGAAATTGGTGGTCGGCGGCCTATGCTCCATTTGGAGTAACAGGCGTAAGTAAAGTAAGTAAAAGTAAACATTAATACTTAGTTTCTTAAATTTTAATAGTCTTCATCTTGACTACAAATAATAAACTCCATAATATATCTTTATGTACTTTATTAAAGATTCAAATGGAATGCATCATTCTTGCCAACCAACATAAACTGTGATATTCTAATATATAAAAGTTGATTATAGAATGAAATAGTTTCTACCCAGCAACAACAAAAACAGAAAAACTTATTTTAAAAATAAATAATGAACAAGATTTTTAATAGAAATTTACCTAAACAGAAATATGAAACGTTTTTCTTTTTCTTTTTTTCTCTCATTTTTTCCTGGTTATGATGAATGAAGGTGTAATAAAGATCATAGTAATAAGAATGTTAAATTTTACATGAAATGTCAAATAAATTTATTAGAGACAAATAAATAACACTGATTATATTTGTGAATACAAATAGTAAGGAATGAGAAGAAAAAGTGAGAAAGAAAAAAGAAACGATCTCACTAGTGCAAACAATTTATTCACAATAACAATAATAATACCAGGATAATGTAAAGATGAATAGCAGTGAAATTCAAAACGCACGTTTCGTCCTACTTGAGACTCGTCAGCTGGATGTACTTGCATCTTAGAGTTGGTATTCACCCTGGAACTCGAACCCGTTATCGTTCACTTCAAACGCACTCGCGTTATTCACTGAACTATTGGGTCCTGATGGTAACTTGCTTGGTCAATGGGGTGAAGTTTAAATTCACTTGTTACTGTTTTCTTGAATCTTATGAGTTCAATTCCCAAAATGAACATCAACTCTGAGATGCGGGTATATCCATCATGCGATTCTCAAATAAGACAAACCGCGTGTCAAGCTGGATTCCACTGCCAGCCACTATCCATCTTTGCTTATAATGCCTATGAATTAAGGCAATATCGAGGCATTCCGCACACTCTGCACATATGCCTAAACAAATAAGCTTAAACTATATCATATCTTCAATCTGTTAACATGATGATTACTTTATTATTAAGTTTTTGATTGAGATCATGAACCGATTGATGTTAGACCACCGTTGGAAACCTGGAAGCACTGGACAGCCGTTTTGTCCTGTTGTGGGACTCCTCAGCAGTGCGCATCCACGATCACGCTCACGGGATTCCAACCCTGGGCCTTCGGTCTCGCGCGCGAACGCTTAACCTACTGGGCCACTGAGCTGGCCTCAAATGGTGTTAGTGTCCAACATCAACCAATCCACGAAATTGCGCGACCATCTTCCACTGTACTGACGTAGACACCTGTTTCTACCCGACACGGATTAGCTCCACTGTCTATGGCTTCTCACTAGAACTTCGAGAATCCCCTCACAAAGCTATTTATTTAAATGTGATAATCGATGGTCTATTGATAACTAATCACCTGACAGCAACCAGTATTTTGTTGTTTAGATCTTTTATACATCAAAATTAACTGATTATTTGTGAAATTAGTGATCAAATAGTTGTCCTAGAGTTATACAAAAGAAAAGCACCTATATTCACTTTGATATTAATTGTCTGTATCTTATGTTCCGCTCCTGATGAATAATACTCTTTGGTAATATTTTTCTGTAATCTTGAAGATTATATCAGTAAATAGCTTACTCAAAACATTTACTATTGAAGCATTGAGTTTACAGAAGTAATCAACACGAAATCCCAGTTCACCACTTCTTCTCGACGTTTAGTCGAATAGCGATTCATCAATGGAGAATAGTATCCCATATCCTAGAGTTTCATGATTGCCTTTCTGTATTGGGTTTCTAAACAGTAATTTCATTTTACACTTGACTCTATTATTTTTAATGTTTATAGAAATGATTTCCTGTTTTAGTTCCAATCAAAAATGAAAATGAATTCTTCTTTATTAAATACGATCGGTTTCTACATCATATTGTCGTAATGGTTTATCATCTTATCTTAATCTTTGTTTAACTTAAATCTGAATCTTGATTCGTAATCAGTTGATCTCCCTGGTTGGGTTCAGATTTTGACGGTTAAAGAAACGTATTAAAGAAATTGCTATTATGTTGTCGTTTTTTAGTAAATTATAAAAATATGTTGAAGGCAGTATCATTTTCAGGTGAAATTGATTCTTTTTTCAAAGTTAAATTCACGAATCGATCGTGGCTAAACGGCCACTGAAAACCTCGAAGTCATAGTTTATGACTCTTCAGTAGCGCGCATCCACGGTCCCGCGCGGAATGGACTCGAACTCAGAACCTTCGGTCTCGCGCACGAGCTCTTGACCTCTAGATCATTGATTCAGCGTCCAACGGTATTAATATTTAACCTAAATCAATCCATGGTTTTGCGTAACCCTTCATTCGTTGTCTGAAGTGGGTAACTATCTTTGCCCAACATGGATTTGATTCTACTAGTCACGGCTTCTCACTATAACTCCAGGAAACTCACCTTGAAGCTAATCAGTAGTGAGCACATGTGCTTCACCCGTGAATTCGACTTTGAAAATACTATAATCTTCACAAATTTCCATAGTGAACTTAATTCACAAGAGTATGAACACTACAAATAATGGTTTATATCATTTCGTTCTAATGCATCTGACATGGAATTCATGTTACGAGATATTAAATGATACAATGGTGACAGATTACACAGAATAGTTTACTATTTACAACAATCAGATATTCATCTACCAGTTAATCTAGATTCAAATGCGATTGTAAATTAAAATCTGATGTTTCACTAATTTATTCATCAAAACATAATCAATCAGATACTTGATCTCGAACTTATGCGATCCATTTGAATAATTGATTCATACATTTTTATTACCATCTTAAGATTTTATCATCTTAACAATAAACCATACAAATCAAATGAGATTTGTGTGGTGCATTTATATCCGGTGCTCCCTTGTTTATTTATTTATTTTAACACATAGATATTGGTACAAGGAGGCACCAAATAGATATGCGCCACACAAATCTCATTCGATGTGTGAGGGCTGTGATACTGCCCGGGTGCCCAAACCGAAACAGGTGGTTTTCTTAGGAGGCCACACCCCGAGCCTTCGACCTGAAGGTCTGATCCACAAGGCAGTGGAGCATCGTAAGGAGATGCAGTCCCATGGAAGCCGGTGACCAACGATTGGTTCATACGCCATTTGTTCCCGCAGGATACAGGAGCCCATGTGCACCAGTGGTTTGGAATCCGGTTAAAGCGCCGGACATTCGCTTTTCGTCCTCTCATTTTCGTTAACAACAGCAATGCCACGAGAAGGCAGTGAGTAGGACTTCCCTGGCAGAGGCTATATATGCGTGGCTATGTGAGAGCATTTCGAGAGGGAGAGTGGACTCTCCCCACTCTCGGCCGTACCAGGGCATTTGTGTGTTCAAATAAATAAATAAGCTTAATCAACAATTTGTATCACGTATGTATCATGTATGTCTTATATGATAACATAAACAATCTAAATATAAACACTTCATATAATAGATCCTGTAGGTTCAGTAGGTGAAGCGTTCGCGCGCGAGACTAAAGGTACTGGGTTCAAATCCCGCGAGCAGGATTGTGGAAACGCACTGTCAAGGAGGAGTCCCACAATAGGACGAAACGGCCGTCCAATGCTTTCAGGTTTCCAACGGTGGTGGTTCATGATCTTAATCAAAAACCTAATAATCTCCACAACCCCTAAACTAATATAACAGATAGAATAATAACTAAAACAAAAACAATGGGAAGAAAAATGAAAGGCAACAAAAGTATATTATACGTACATGTATATATATATATATTTCTATTTATTTATTTAAGATCATGTTAATAGAAAACACATAAAACATAAAAGAAAACAATGCACAACACAATAAACAACAAGAATAGATAATGAAATAGAAAAAGAGTATATAACTTGAATAGTATATTTTGATCTTCATATATTTATATATAGAAGTGAGTTCAATTAAACTGATATCTGACAATAATGGTTCATTGGAATGAAATGATGAATTGATTGTAACATACATGAAAGTTTTTATATCAGTTACATCACAGTTAAAATGAAAGGGATTAAAGATTTCTTTATTAGTAGTATCATTATTTATTTATTCATTTATTAGTTTAACTAATAAATGCTTTCAAGTTCTTTTTTTTCCAATTAACACAGATACAAGTACACACACACAGACACAAACACACACACACAGACACACACACACATACAGACACATACACGCACAAACACACAGAAACAAAATGATTATATAATAAAAGAAATGAGAATTATTCAAAATCACGATATCTTCTTGGTACTGAATTATAAAAACACATATGATATTCCGGGAAACATCGACAACGATGATGTTTTTTAATTTCTTCACTACCAGATGGTACAAAACTCATAAAATACCATTCATTACAACCTAATTCTTGACATAATTCAAAACATTTTTTAGCTGTTGGTACAACGCACATAAAATTTCCAGTAGCTAAGATAGAAAAAAAACCGAAAAAAAAACAAGGAAGAGGTTACTATTATGATGATTATTATTATTGTTATCATTATGAGTTCATAGATGAACTTTTTAAGAATAAATTCAATCTAAGTACTTAGATACAATCAATCGATTAAATCTAGACTATCATGAAAAACCTGGAAACAATAGACGGTTGTTTCGTCCTAGTATTGAACTCTTCAAATATTTTGTTTATAAATAAGGTTTGTTCTAATGATGTAATCTTAAAAACTGTGAAAGTATTTACGAATTAATATTAAAACTGAACGTTATTAAATTGTTGAATTGAAAGATATAATAACTAACTAATAATGACAATCTAATATAAGGATGGAGTTTCCCTCTTTTTTTTTTCCTCTCACGACAGTTGAATGATAGATCATATTTGATATTGGAATTCTTTATTCAGACTTTATTCATTTCATAATATTAAGTAATTATCTTTCAAGATCATTAATGTGTAAACTGGTTGATTATGATTTGAGATAACCTCCCAAACATAAGTCACTAATAACAACATCATGTAATTATCATTTCAATAATGAATTCAAGTCACAGAGTAAACATTAACTCTGGGATGAAAGTAGATCCAGCTGACGAGTCCCTAATAGGACGAAACGTGCATCCTGGATTTCACTGATAGCCACTATCCATCTTTGCAATATATATATATATATATATATATATTATTAGAGACAAATAAATAACAGTGATTATATTTGTGAATTCAAATAATAAGGAATGAGAAGAAAAAGTAAGAAGGAAAAAAGAAACGATCTCATTAGTGCAAACAATTTAATCATAATCACAATAATAATAATACTAAAATAACGTAAAGATAGATGATGGATAATAGTAGAATCCAAGAGCCGCTTTTCGTCCTATGTGGGCTTCGTCGGTTGGATGAAACTATAACTCAGAGTTGGTTTTCATTCTGGGACTTGAACACATTATCGTTCGCTTCAAACGCCGTCGCGTTATCCACTTAACTATTGAGTCCTGATGGTAACTTGCTTGTGTAATAAGATGAAGTTTAAATTCACTTGTTACTGTTTTCTTGAATCTTCTGAGTTCAATTCCTAATGTGAACATCAACTCTGAGATGCAAGTACATTCATCTGACAAGTCCCAATTAGGGCGAACCGTGCGTCTTAGATTTCACCACTAATCACAATATTAGTATATATACCGTATGTTAAACAATTGTGAAGTGGTTACTTAGAAAACGGGTTATTTGCTTTTCAACTTAGTTACTATTTTGAACTTTGCCTTGGACTATTTTAGTTTTTATTCATCAATTCAAAGATAACAAATTTGTTTTACTTTTTCAGCTTTAATCAAAATAGTTGTAATTAGAAATGCACTTAGTAATTGTATTACATAAATCTTACCATGGATAATAAGAACTTCAATTGATTAGTCTTTTATTGGCAATAGTAGTATATATTTCAAATGTAAACTTGACTATATCCATAAAGAAACTGTACATAAACTATTGAACTATCAGAATGTATAGTTTAATGTGAATATTTCTATTTTTATTGATATAAAATAGTACATTATAACAAATTGTTTACATAAGAGAAAGCTAATTATCATCAATCAACTAAATAAGAAGTATTACGTAATGTAAAATTGTTGCCATGGTTACCTTCTCTCTCTTTTTTTATAAAATAGTTTTAATGTAGATTATATAATTGAAAATTATCAAGCGAAGTTATCATTATTTATATGGATAAAGCTGAATATCACATAATATCTTTAAGTTCACTTGATGTTGTTTTACTCGTATCTTCCCATTGCACGTATATCCAGATGACGAGTCCCAAATAGGACGAAACGCGCGTCAAACTGGATTCCTATTTATGATTCGTCGTCTTTTCTTAAAAAGCTTATGACTTAAGGCTATATTGAGGCAATCCGCATAGGATGCACATATGCTAACATGTCACGGATCAATTGTAGTCCTAAATAAAAGTCGAAAGATACAAGCAAAACAACATCAAGTGAATTTAAGCTTCACCTCATTGCACAAGCAGGTGGCTATCAGGACTCAGTGGCTAAGTGGATAACGTGATGGCGTTTGAAGCAAACGGTATTGGGATACAGGAACATCCAGTTGACAAGTCCGATAAATGACGAAACGCGCGTCGTGGATTCCACTGCTAGGAGCTATCCATCTTTGCTTAAAAATATCTGCATGTGTTCATTACTTAAACAAAAGTTATTCACCATCTGAAATATGAAACTTATTCAAGTTTTAAATTGACAGGTTCCTACACATCTAAGAGTGGAGGTGATATTTCTTAAACAACTGAAATAAACGATTTATTTAGTATACATTGATTAAAATCACAAATGTCATTTGGCCGGCCAACAAATCGTTCCATATCAACGATTTCAACAACGAATTCTTCTGATGTATATATATTAAGGGACATAAGATAATCCACACATTTAAAGAATCTAAACAACACCATGAAGACATTCATTGATACAGTAAAAAATAGGTAAGTATAGTTATTGTAATAATATAATGAATAACGAAGATCCGTTGCTTCCTACCCATAAACATACTGATCCAAAAAGATTTAAATAGGGAGCATAGTGGAAGTATGAATATATGATATATCATACCAATATCAACATACGAAGATTAATGTCAAGATTGTTCAGTTCTCACATTTCACACCACCGATTGATCTCAATTAGACAATCGTTGGGAACCAAAAATCACAAAATAACTATTTCATCATATCATGCATGTATTCACCAGTTCCCACTCATAATACCATCCAGCCACTCACAATCCACCATTTCAACTTCACACTACACACTTCATATACAATCATCTACATGTCGAACTTCATCGAGATGTGACAATGTGAGACTATCTTCCATCACATGTGGTCGATAACTATCCATCTCACATACAATATGGTTGAATTAAATTTATTCTCAGCATCTACACAGAACACCTCCAATCACATCTACAACTCAATCACTAGTGAGTGCAATCATATTACTATTATTAGCATTAGTGTATTGGGTTGTTGAGCATTGTCAATTTTGTATAAATTTTACATGAGTGGTGAAATTCAGTTAGATAGCGACTGCTGATGAGTGTGATACTGTGAGGAATGAGGTGACTGATGCTTCCTGTATTCCGATAGTTATCCGGCCAAGATCATTTCTGTATGTAATGTATGAAACTTTAAATATTTTCATCAAAGTTGTAATCTACATTATTAGTTATCACCTTATAAACTGAAGGATTTTTGATTCATATATTCAATTCGGATTTATCATGAAAGAAGTATATTAGTATCAGAAGGGGTTTTGTGGATATTATAGTAATTTTAATAGTAGAGATCATGAGTAAATTAAAGCGGGATCGTGCATGTGCACTGTCAAGTAGAAGTCGCACAATAGGACGAAACGGTCGTACAGTACTTTCAAGTTTTTAATGATGGTCTAACACCAATTGGTTCATGATCTCAATCAAAAACTTAATAATCCCCACAACCCTACAATTTGTAATTTTAATAGTTAATATCATAAGACAATGGAAGCTAGATCAACATGAAAAACCTAGAAATACTAATTATCCGTTTCGTCCCAGTATAAGACTACTCACCAGTATGCATTCACGATCCAACCTCATGAAATTCGAATCCTGATCTTATCAATCTTGCACATGAGTGCTTAACCTCTATACCACTGAGTTTCAATGAACTCATGATTTCAACCATTAAAATTACTATCATATTCATAAAACTCATTCTGAATCTAATTTGTACTTTATATAATTTATGATGATTATTGTACCGCATACATGGTGTTACTATTTTTATATTATTAAATAGTGTATTCATTATTGACTACAATATTGTCATTATAACAAATAAAACTATAATCATGTATTATATCCTTGTATAAAGTATTCAAAATTGATCTGTATCCAATGATAATTACACCGGATATTAAATAAATAGTAATATAGATTAGTGATTTCATTGTCAACATTATTATTGTTATTTTTGTCATTATTGTACTAATGAAAAAGGTTAATCGGATATATTGTAAAAGAACACCACACACACACACACACAAACACATACACACATGCACTCACACACACACACACAAATACACATACACAAAATAAAAGGAATTCGTTACTGTACATGTAATTTCTATTTGTTTGTTTGTTTTCCTCATTCATTTATTCATTCCACTCCTTTATTACAATGATGGGCTATTATAGTCCCGCCTACAAATTGTTGTTTGTATCATAATAATGATCAAATAAACAGATGTTAATCGGCATAAATGTAAACAAGATATTCATAGATAATTACATAATAATAGAATTCCATTATTGATATGATTTCAATTTGTAGTCACGTAATTTAAAGGAATACTTACGTAAATAAACCTCGATTCTATATATATAAGATTTTATTAGTAGCGGTAATACTGAATGAGAATGATAAATACAGTACTAGTACTACTACTGCAGCGACACCAAATGTAGTGAACAAGAACACCGGTAAGGGCAACCGAATGTATTTGACACAAAATTACAGGGCATCTCAATAAAATCTGAGAACTTTATATTAAATCGTTAATTTGCAAAATGTCCACCAATTGTCTCAAAACGTCTCACACTTTATTGTTCTTACATTTTCATACAAATTGCATTCTATTCCCGCTTTCGCTTTCTTGATCTTCCTTCATCTTCTGCTGCCAGACATTACATTCCTGACTCGCATAATACACTACTTATATCAATAAAACTAGCACGCACCACACTACTAATACTACTAATACTAATACTACTATTACTATTACTACTACTACTACTACTACTACGACTTCTACAACACCAACGACTACTACTACTACTAATACTAATACTAATACTACTATTACTATTAACACTACTGCTAATACTACTACTACTGATAATAATAGTAGTATTAGTGTTAATAATGATAATATTACCATAACATAAAGAAGGTGTCTTTTTTGAACATTTAACACCTACCATAACTGGCAACAGTAAATGTTTGATCAAAGTACAAACATTATGCATTATCTTTGAAAGTCTATAGTTATAAAATCCATAATGATGATATTACAATTGTCAAGCTTAAAAAACCTACATATATATATGTATAGACATGGTAACTATGTTGAAATGAATCATTTCTAAACTTAGATAATATATATATTGAATCATATATAGGCTATAGTTTAATTATTTCCATTCATAATATCATCATTGTATAAGATTCCAACTAATATTAATGGGACATTATGTTGATAGTCAAAAAAAGGTAATTAAAATGTAACATCCAATATGTTAAATATATACGCCGCCCCCCCTCCACTCTTTTAACACAAAACGGTTACATATATACCACAAAAAAAAAATTAAAATCAATTTATTTACCATTATGAAATTGATAATTTTTTTCCGGGCATGGTCTTGTAAACTTTAAATCTTTCAAAAGTAATCCATCATTATGTAATGCTGAAATAAATTATAAAAAGATATAGGATCGTTAATTTAACTAATAATGAATTCATATCAGAGGGGTTTTATGGATATTATAGTAGTTTCGATGGTTGAGATCATGAGTCAATTGAGGCTAGATCACCATGGAAAACCTGGAAGTACTGGATGGTCGTTTTGACTTATTGTGGGACTCCTCAGAAGTGCTCATCCACGAGCCTACCTCGCAAGATTCCAACTCAGGACATATCGATCTCTCATGTGAACGCTTAATCTCTAGACCACTGAGACGGCCGGTATCTAACGGTGTTGATGTTTAATTTCAACTAATCCACGAAATTGAGCCACCGTCCACCATTGTCTTCAGTGAGTTGCTATCTTGCTACTTTATATACGGAATTACGAAATAAAAATAAAGCAACGATTCTTTTACTAGTCTTAATTCATGATTATAAATAGTCATTATTGTTTAAAGTATTATTTGATACCTAAATTTCAAATCATGTCTAATTTATAGGTATCCTATTACCAAAGTTGGACTTGATAGTCGCAAAACAAATTGAGTAGAGAGTTAATAATAAATATATTTTTTGTTATATCCCAATGATTAGAAAAATTGTATTTCTGACGATATTTCGTGACTTAATACGCGTCCACGACCTCGCCTAGCGAGATTCGGACCCAGGACCTATCAGTCTATCAGTTTTCCATAGTGGTTTAGCTTCAATTGACTCATGATCTCAACTATTGAAATTAATATAATATCCACAGAACCCCTCTGATATGAATCAACATATGCTCACTAGTGACTGGCTTCAACAGGTAAGAAGCAGTAAGAAGCAGTGAACAGTGGAGTTCATCCATGTCTGTTGTGAGATAATAACTCATCGAAGACAATGATGGATGTGTCGCTCGATTTCGTGAATCAGCTGAAGTTAGACATTAGCACCGTTGGATGCCGGCCAGATCAGTGTTGCAGTGGTTAAGCGCTCGCGTGCGTTAATGATAGATCCTGAGTTTGAATCTCACGAGGTGGATTTGTGTATTCACACTGCTGTGAAGTCTCACAATATGACGAAACCGCCGTCCAGTGATTCCAGGTTTTCCATAGTGGTCTAACTTCAATTGACTCATGATCACAACTATAAAAATAAAATGATGTTTATCATTTGGATAAATTGTAATTCTATTATTATTGATTATGTTGTTATCAGTATGGGGATTTGTAAAGATTGTACTATTTTTACTGTTCGAATCACGATTCGATCTAAGCTAGACTACCTGAGAAGTTTCATACTAGGACCAAACGGCCATCTAATGCTTCCAAGTTTTCAATGAAGGTCTAGCTAAGATTAACTCGTCAATTCAACTGTGAAAATCATATTCTTCTATTATCAATTAATAATTAAATAAACCACTTAATGTAGAAAGTAACTAAGCCATTCATAAGGAGTATTTAACTCATTGAGAATAATAGTTCATTACAAATTATATGAAAGAACTAACTATCGAGGGATAGATGGATGACTTCATATTTTCTTTTTTCTCTTGAATGTTTCTTTATCTTTATCTCATATTGAAATATGAGTATTTTTTTATCAACGAAATGAAAGTATTATCAGAATAGAGATTTGTGGATACTGTAGTCATCTTTTTTTTTAGTTGACTTCATGAGGCGATTAAACCTAGACAATCTTGGAAAACCTGAAAGCACTACACGACAATTTCGTCCTAATATGAGATTCCTGATCTACAATCCTGCATACAGTAGTCGAACATAGAACCTTCGGTCTCCTGCGCGAATGCTTAATCTTTAGACTACTGAACCGTCTAGTATTGTTTTCAGTCAATAAACTATCTCTACAACAGTCACAGTCAAATTCCACTTTCCACGGCTTCTCTCTAAAACTCCAGGAAATCCATCAAATCCGGGGGTTTATTGTATGGATATTTGAGTAATTTTTATTTTAGTGAAAGTATATTACATTACATAAGGTGGATCTGATGCAGATGTGAAAGCGCGGATCGGTAAAGCAAGAGCAGCATATTAACAATTGAAGAAAATCTGGAACTCAAAACAACTCTCTGTCAACCAACACCAAGGTCAGGATTTTCAATACAAATGTCAAGACAGTTCTACTGTATGGGAAGGAAACTCGGAGAACTATGAAAGTGATCATCCTGAGGATATAGGTGTTTATTAACAGTTGTCTACACAAAATACTTCGGATCCGTTGACCAGACACTATCAGCAACAATATACTGTGGGAGAGAACAAACTAGATCTCAGCTGACGAGGAAATCAGGAAGAAGTGCTGTGAGTGGATAGGACGCACATTGAGGAAAGCACCGAACTGGGTCACAAGGCAAGCCCTCACATGGAATCCTCAAGGTCAAAGGAAAACAGGAAGACCAAAGAACACATTACGCCGGGAAATGGAGTTGAACATGAGAAAAATGAACAAGAATTGGATGGAACTAGTAAAGAAGGCCGAGGACATAGTGGGTTGGAAATTGGTGGTCGGCGGCCTATGCTCCATTAGGACTAACAGACGTAAATAAGTAAGTAATATTACATTACATAATTACATCATCTTATATCTATATAGAAATCTACCAGAAATGACAGTCATTCATCTTAAACGTTAAATTAACCTATTAAAGAGAACTTATACAAAACATACTACTAATAGTAATGATAATAAATAATTGATATAACTTACCTAACCCATTAATTTGATCGCTAACCATTAAAACAATTCCAATGATTAAAATATATTGGTTTGTTATAATAATTGTAGATTTTCGATGAAACATTATTCTTTCTTTCTTTTTTCTTTCTTTCTTTTTTTCTTTTTGTTTATATCACTGTGTTCTCTTATTATTAATTTTCTGTTTTTTCTTCTTTTTATAATGAAAATATCAATATGGTTCACCAACAAGAACAAAAAATCAACAACAAAAACAAAACAAACAAGATTCAAAAACAAAGAAACAAAAAAAAAGAAAAGAGAAAAGAACTTGATTTGTGCTTTACTTTCAAAATAATAAAATGAACTGATTTTTTCTTGTGGTTGTTGTTCTTGTTGTTGTTGCTGTTGTTGCTGCTGCTGAACGAATACTATTTAATGAATTGAATTAATTCAATGGTGAACTGATCTATATTTCTATGGTTTAAATACTCTGTCACAATTGTTATACATTCAATAATTTATAATAAGAATGAATGAAGAGATGAGTAACTATGACAGATTATTTTTTTTCTTGTTTTTTTTTCTTTATTTTCTTTCTCTTTTGTGTGTGTGTGTGCGTGTGTGTGTGTGTGTGTATGAAAACGTCTAAGAAATTTTTCTATAAAAATAATAGAAATGTAGAATAGATACGTATCAATGTGAAATATAATAGAATATAAATGGATATGTAGAATTATATAACCGTATAAAGCATTTTTGTCTTTTAATAAGCGTGGGCTATCCTCTTTTGTTGAGAGCCAATCAAATTTCAATAAGCCAAAATAATCATTGGTAATCATATTCATAATTTTTAAAAATATTTTTAATATATAAAAACGATTATTATTATTATTATTAAGCAAAGGTGAATAGTGACTAACAGTGGAATCCAGGATGCGTGTTTCGTCCTATTTGGGATTCGTCAGCTGGATTTTACTAGTATCTTGGAGTTGATGTTCGAGTCCCAGAGTGAACATTAACACTGAGATGAAACTATGAATCGTTGCATAGATTGTATGCAGGTATATCCAGTTAACAAGTCCTAAATAGGATGAAACGTGTCTCCTGGATTCCACTACCAACAACTATCCATCTTTGCTTATAATGCTTGTGAATTAAGGTAATATTGAGGTAATACACACAGTATGCACATAAGCTAATAAGAGACTGATTAATTGCAGTGCTAAATATCAATGGGAAGATTCAAGTAATCAATATCAAGTGAAGTTAATAATAATTACTACACTAATATGGTGTTATAAACATTGAATAATTACATAATTATAAATGTTGTTATGTTGAGCTTATAAACTACTAATGTCATACATTTGCATATTGACTGCTTGAATCTTTTTACTGATATTTAAGACTGTCATTAATAAGTTTGTTATTGTTATTTATGGATTTTGTGCAAATTGCAAAGGTATCTCCTTAAGTTACAAGTATTATAATTAGAGATGGATGGTGGCTAATAATGAAAAACAGAATATGTGTTTCATCCTATTTGAGACTAATTGAATAAATAACGTAATGACGTTTGAAATGAATGGTACTGAGTTCGAGTTCCAGAGTGAACATTAACTCTGATGTAGGATTATCAAGCGGACAAGTCGTAAATAGAACGATTCCATTACTAGCTACCATTCATCTTTGCTTATAATACTAATGTACGTGTTTTCAAATTGGAAGAGATGTAGTTTCAAACGCTTAATTAATCATTCGATTATTAATAAAATCCTTGGATTAATATTTTCATTATAAATATCTATTTAACATTGTTACATGTCTACCTTCAATAGACTTCCTGTACTAAACAACTATCTTCTATAGTTTCAACGTATTAGGATTAAAAGGTGGTTCATTAATTTCTAGTTTCTGGTAACTGTCTAACAATCTTCACAAATTTCACTTGCTGATAATAACTATATGCTTATTACTGATCGAATTCTAGAAAACATCTTCGTAGTTTCCAGTGGATAACAATGACCAATGGAATTGAACCGTATTATCCACCGAAGACAATAAATACATAGACCATTGATATAGAAGTCAATTGTAGTATATCATTGTAACTATTTCAAAAAAATATTCATAAAAGCATTTATAAGATGTTCGTCTAGCAAACTGAAATGTACTTCTATATCTTGTAACTTACAAGATGCATTGTTTGAGTTTTTCCGTTATTGATGTCAATGTCTTCAATTGATCAATATTTTCTGGTTTATGTGCAGGTTAAGTGGAACATCTCGATAGTTTTATTAAGTCATAAGCATTTCTCTATTTACCACTGTCAAACTCAGTTTAAAATCCATATGTCTTAATGATATTATCGAAATAATCTACTTAAGCTACACATATGCAGAAAGAATATCTTAACATGAACAACAAGACGATTCAAACAACTTTACAGATGGATTAAAATTCGTTCTCATTGCACAAACTAGTGGCGATCTGAGAGTGAGTTTGTAGTGTGCTATCCGTTGGTCGTCTGAAGCTAAAGGTAATGAATACCTATGTGAACAACAATAAATTTAGTTAGATCCAGCTGAGGAGTTTTAAATAGAAGGAAATGTACCTCCTGGATTTCACAGCTAGCCACAACCAAACTATACTTAAAGAACCTATATGTTTATCAGCATTTTTAAAACTAAGATGGACTAGAGCCTTTTTCTTAAATATATATATACAATCGATCAGCCGTAATGGTGTTAACACGTAGCTTCACTGATTGCTCAATGATTACACCATTTAACTTTCGACTATGAAGCTTTTAATTCAGCTCAAACTTTTATAATCGATAAATAGCACTAAAGGCAACTGAGACTAGGTAGACAAATCTGTACCTAGTTGGTGAGTTGCCAAAGCTTTATACCTACGCGCACATATTAAATAATGTATTTTTAAAAGTTTGGATTTTGATAGAAATCAATCAATTCATCATTCTCGTTTCTTCGACGATAAATCTGAAATGTATGTTATTTTAATAGTTGAATTCATAAGTCAATTGAAGTGAGACCGCCATGGAAAACCTGGACGGCTGTTTTGTCCTGCTACGGGACTCCTCAGCAGTGCGCATCCACGATCCCGCCTCGTGAGATTTGAACCCAGGACCTATCGTTCTCGCGCACGAGCGATTGACCTCTAGATCACTGAGCCAGCATTCAGCGGTGTTAATGTTTAACTTTACCCAATTCACGAAATCGCGCCACTGTCCATCATTGTCATCAGTGAGTTACTATTAGACCACAGACTCTGTTGAACTCCACCAGTCACGACGTCTCACTGGAACTCCAAGAAATACGAAACGGCCGTCAATTGCTTCCAGGATTTCCATGATGGTCTAACTTCAATTGACTCATGAATTCAATTAATAATATTACTATAATATTCCACTACTCTTTCATGCTTGCTTACCGTACCTATACGTGGTGCAATAATAGACGTAATCAACACTGCGTATTCGCCTACTGATTAATACACTGTTAAGGATTATATTGAATACCGACCACCAAAAGATGTGTATAATATATTATAAAAGTTTCATAATTAATCATCAACTTCTTCAGTAATTCGATTTGTTTCTTTAACGGCTTAAATATTGACTTAAAAACAATCCATCTAATGTGATTGATATCGCACTTTCTCAAATTATAAGACTCAATTAGTGGCTATCTAACTGAATTCCACCACTCATGTAAAATTTATACAAAATTGACAATGCTCAACAAACCAATACACTAATGCTAATAATAGTAATATGATTGCACTCACTAGTGATTGAGTTGTAGATGTGATTGGAGGTGTTCTGTGTAGATGCTGAGAATAAATTTAATTCAACCATATTGTATGTGAGATGGATAGTTACCGACCACATGTGATGGAAGATAATCTCACATTGTCACATCTCGATGTATTATGAGTTTGAACTGGTGAATAAACTTGTGATATGATGAAAGAGTTATTTTGTGATTTTTGGTTCCCAACGATTGTCTAATCGAGATCAATCGGTGGTGTGAAATGTGAGGACTGAACAATCTTGACATTAATCTTTGTATGCTGATCTTGGTATGATATATCATATATTCATACACCCACTATACTATCTTTTAAAACTTCAATAGATTTATTTTGATAAAACTAAGAATCGCTGCGTTGATTGTAAAATTTCTGTAGCCATTAAAATGATATGTATATGCAGGTACATCCAGCTGGCAAATCCCTAATAGAATGATATGCAATCCTGGATTCCACTTCTAGTCACTATCCATCTTTGTTTAAAGGGCTTTTGACTTAAGGCAGTGCGCACAAGATGCACATATGTCAACAAGAAACTGATCAATTACAGTCCTAAATAACAATAGGAAGATACAAGTAAAACAACACCAAGTGAATTTAAACTCCACTCCATTGCATAAGATAAGTAACTATCAGGACTCAGTTGCTAAGTGGACAACACAATGATGTTTTAAGCAAACGGTATGGAGTTCGTGTCCCGGAGTGATGCATGTACATCCAAGTAACGAGTCCTAAATAGGACGAAGGGTGCGTCAAACCGGATTCCACTACTAGCCATTATCCATGTTTACTTAAAATGATATATGTATATATGAGTTAGCATTTTCATTCACTATAAAACTGTTTCCAATTTAATCGTTTATCTTTTATTTCACAGAAGTTCTTTTTTTGTTTTATAGATTTTTAACCAACTATGATTTTTTCTCTCGTTTTTTTTCTCGTTTGTGTTGTTGTTGTTCTCATTTGAAATAGAACTTTATTATTTGTCTAATACATTAAATAGTCCATCTGTATTATCTTATAATTAACTGTTAGGCGCCAAACAAATTATTTATACAATAATTTTTATTTCTATTTAGATTTCTTACTCGTCTACTGCTATTAATTTCTGGTTAGGTAAGTTGTTAAATGTAACTGTTTTGTTGTTGTTGTTGTTGTGGTGGTGGTGTTTGTGGTTGTGGTTGTGGTTGTTGTTGTTAGTTTACCTTGTTCTATGAATGGATTCTATTTGATTTAACCGCTTAACTTTGTGTACTTAACATGTTTTAAATGTTAGTTTTATTCCAGTAT